AAAATCACAATAATAGTAATAAAGATATTAATACGAACGATACAAATTAGAATAACGATACGAATAGTAAGAGTGATAATGATCATCATCATAATCATCATCATCATCATCATCAACAACCTCGTCGTCGTCTGTGTCATCGTCACCCGCATAGTCATCATCATCATCGTCGACCTTAGAGTCGTCACTATCAGCATCAGTATCCTCATCAGAATATTCATCATCATAGTGGTAATCATTATCAGCGTCAGAATCAGCATCCCAACATCCTCATCTTCATCCTCATCCGTGTCATCCTCCGTATCCACATCATCATGATCATCGTCATCACCACTATCACCATCACCAGCAACGCCATCATCTAAAATACCATAGTCATCATCGGCCGCAGCATAATCAGCATCATCATCATCATCATCATCATCATCATCATCATTATCATCATCATCATCATCATCATCATCATCATCATCATCATCATCATCATCGTCATCACCATCATCATCACGATCAGCATCAGCATCACCATCACAATCAGCATAATCAGCATCATTATCATCATTAACATAATCAGCATCGACCTCATCATCATCATCATCATCACTATTGGTACAATCATCATCACCATCATGAGCACCATCATCAGAATCACCATCTTCGTCGACATTGTCGTAGGCATCACAAACATCGGCGCTGTCACTGATACTACCACCATCACCATCATCATCCGCTGCATCCTCGTCGTCGGCATTATCAGCCTCATCATCAGCAGCAGAATCAACAGCATCTGATCAGCATCGGCATCATCACTATCATGGTCGGCATCATCATCATCATCATCATCATCAGCATCATCATCATCAACAGCATCGTCAGTATCAGCATCACTATCAGCATCGTCATCATCATCATCATCATCATCATCATATCGTCGTCTTCGCTATCAGCATCATCGCCTCCAAGAGTACCACCAGCATTATCGGCAGCATCGCCATCATCGAAAGCATCATCATCATCATCAGTATGATAACCGTCGTCGTCATCGTCATCATAATCATCATCGTCATCACAATCGTCAACAACGCAAACCTCAGCTTAATCAGTATCAGCATCATCATCAGCATAGCATCGTCAACAGCATGGTGACAAGAATCATCATCAGCAGCAGCATCATCATCACAGTCACCATCATCATCATCATCACCATCATCATTATCATCATCAACACCACCACAACCATCATCATCACCACCACCACCATCATCATCATCAGCATAATCATCAGCATAAGCATCAGTATCAGCATCTTCATCATCATCATCTTAATAATCAGCATCATCATCATAATCAGCATCATCACTACCTGTATCATCATCATCATCATCATCATCATCATCATCATCATCATCATCATCATCATCAACATCAACATCACCATCATCATCATCATCATCTTCATCATCATCATCATCATCGCCACCATCGTCGTCATTATCATCGCCATCAACCGCCATCATCGCCATCATCGCCATCATCGCCATCGTCATCTTAATATGTGATCAACATCAGCAGCAGCAGCAGCATCATCACTACCCTAACAATCCCTCCTCCTGCCCCTACCCCCGAACTCCATAAGCCACCGAGCCATCGACGCTCGTTCCTTACCGCGGACGCGGGCAGGGCCCACATCGCTAAAGCGGATGCGGGGCAGGCACTCGCGAATTCAGGTCCATGCAGGAGGCGAGCCAAAGGGGCGGGAGGAAGCGGCCGCAGAGACAGGAGGAAGCGGAGCCCTCGCGCGCGGCCGCCGCGGCGCGAGGAAAGGCCGCGGCGCAGGAGGCGTCAGGGGGCGGGCCGCGCGGCGCCTGCTCCCGCTGCCGCAAAAGAATCTCGGGCGCCTCCACCCTGAGCAGGCTCGGCCTCCACAGCCGAGAGCGAGCAGCGCGGGGTCCTCGATCGTCCTTCCTCCTCCTCTTCCTCCTCCTCCTCCTCCTCCTCTTCTGCTTCCTCCACCTGCTCCTCCTCCTCCTCGTCCTCCAACCGTTTCCTTCACGTAATCATTCGCAAATTCACGCGGGACTCAGCTCCTTCGAGGGAACCATTGAGAACGCACCACAAGTCCTCATCTAACCCATGAACGCTGCCCCCCTGAACTCCTCCTCACCTTTAATTTAGTCGTCTCGTTTAGCTGAGGTTGCCAGGTACCTGGCGTGCATGAGCCTGTCACTGAACACCCTGATCATGTCGTTCTCGTCGGTCTCATGCATGGCCCCGTCCATGGTATCCTCTATTGTTCAGCTCGTTTAGTGACCTGCGGTTAACACAATTAACTCAAACGAGCACGTTGGGAAGCTTCTCATTCCACTCACGGGATGTACCCCGATGTCCTGCAAAGTTCTTCAACTGCTGAATTGCGTTCCATTCGCTAGCTGGTGTGTGCCGTCGTTCTGGTTTCCCCGTTCCGCTTCGTAGTGCATCAGCTAGCTTGAGGAACGCCTCTTCTTAAGCTGTACGCTTGCTTCCTGGTGTCCCGCACGTCCATGTACAGTGTCCCAATTACTGATATTCTGCAGATTCTCTCTCGTGCGCCCATCGTGCCTCCCGGATCGGCCCAACGTTCTTAACGATGCTGCATTGCACTTGGCCAGGACATGGCGGACCTTGAACACGTCTGGCAAGGATAACATCTGGCAGCTGTCCGCATTCGGTTCTTGTTCACTCTGTCCGCAATGCTGTAATCTATATTTGGCACAGCCCTCCAGCAGTCGAACTTGTGGTTAACGGAATATGGCTGACAGCTGTTGAGGAACTCACTAGCGTTGAACATAAAATATTGCGATTCAACATTTTCCGTGATTGTCTGCTCCGCCAGTCTTGCTGCAGATGATGTTGCCATGATGACCTCGCTCCGCTGCCATGCAATACTTGTAGATTGAGGGTATTGAAGATAACGAGCTTTGTCCCAGCGGCGAGAATCCGAGCCGCGTCCTAAGGCGACTGTCTAGGATGACAGGCGAGCAGCTTTACCTGTATCATCGGGAGGTCTCACTCACGACACGCAGACATAATTCAACCAATCTGCGTTCGACACGGCAGCCATTTAACTCGCCGAGTGACAGAGTAACACGTGCTCTAACACCTCCTCCTTCTCCTCCTCCACCTCATCCTCTTCCTCCCCTCGCCGTCCCCTCCTGCAAAATGTCCTCGTCCTCCTCGTCGTCGTCGCCGTGCCACTCCTCCTCGTCCTCTACCCTCCTCCCTCCCTCATCATCATCCCTCCTCGCTCCCCCCTCACCCCGCATCCCTCTTTCCTCCTCTTCATCAGCCACATCCACCACCCGCTCCACCCTCCTCCTCGATCCTTACGGACCCCCTCCTTCCCTCCTTCCCCTCTCCTTCCCTCTGCTCCCCGCCTCTCCCTCCCTCAGACAAGGGCGCGCGGGGCTGCGCGCTTCGCGGACTCGAACTCAAAGCACCCGCCGAATGCCTCCACTCTCAGCCTCGGAGGGGGGACGGTGGCACTGCCTCCTTCCTCCTCCTCCTCCTCCTCCTCCTTCGTATCCTTCTCCTTAGTAATATCATCATCAGTATTAGTATTATGTTTGTCATTATGGTTCTTAATATTAGTATTACTAGTATGCGTATTCGTGTTACTAACACTATTTTGCTTATTGTTATTATCCGTAGTCTTCTTCGTGTTGCAATTATGAACAGCATTAGTATTCATAGCAGTACCAAGATTAGTATTAGTGATACGATAATCACTCGTAGTATGATTCGCTGGTTTGTATCATCTTTAGCCGCCCCATTAGTATGTTTCGTGTTCTTCGTATTACTCTTGTTCATCGAAATATTATTGGTGCTCGCATTAATAATCCCAGTATTATTTTCATCTTCTTAGTTTTTTTATAGTATCATCATCATCAACAACATCCTCATCATAAGCATCATCAGCATCATCAACATCATCAACATCATCAACCTCATCATCAGTAGCATCATCGTCATCATCATTACCAGTATCAGCATCGTCATCAGCAGCAACAGCCGCATCATCCTCCTCCTCCTCATCATCAGCATCATCGTCATCATTATCATCATCGATATAATCAACATCAACATCATCATCAGCAGCATCATCAGCATCATTAGCAGCCTCGTCATCGTCATCATCATCATCATCATCATCATCATCATCATCATCATCATCATCATCATCATCATCATCATTGTCAGCAGCATCATCAACAGCAACAGCAGCATCATCATCCTCCTTATCATCATCGTCATCATCGTCGTTATCGTCATCAGCATCAACAGTATCATAAGCATCATCAGCATCATCAAAGGCATCATATGCATCATCATAAGCAGCATCATACGCATCATCATCAGCATCATCAGCAGCAGCATCATCATCAGCATCATCATCCATCATCAGCGGAAGCATCATCATCATCGTCATCATCAGCATCACCCACCACCACCATCATCACCATCGCTGGTGTCATCATCATCATCATCATCAGCAGCAGCAGCAGCAACATCGTCATCGTCCATTCCTTCTCCGGCTCAGCATCATCATCAGCATCAGCATCTGATCATCAGCATCATCACCCATCACCATCACCATCACCATCACAGTAGTCATCACTGTCGTAAGCATCATCATCATCATCAGCATCATCATCATTGCCATCATGATCAGCATCATGAGCAGCAGCATCATCATCTCCAACATCATCATCATTATCATCACCAACAACAATAGTTGTCAGACTGCTCGGTCTTAGCTTTCGCGTGTCACTCAACCTGTATGTCCCAAACCCTCGATACCCGCCTTCTCCGTCGTCGAGTGTACCCCCATTGGGCGTAGAGCGTCCTTACCTGCCACGTGTAGTTGGCGCAGCCCCTAAATCAGGGGAAGGGAGGAGGGAAGGGACAAGGGGGACAGAGAATGGTAGAGCACGACAGAGATGAGCAGGATGGCGAAGAATTGTCGAGCGATGGCGCGATTCCCAATCAGAACGAAAGCAGAATTCCGGAATAGTGGCGGCGCTGCGTTTCGCCAAACTGAAAGGAAGTGCCACGCGAGAACGCGAGTCCTGGTTTAATGTGTAAGGGATTATAACGCGGGAGCTGTTGTTGTGGTAGTTCGGGGGCCAAGAAGCCAATCTAAGGCGCAAGATGTCCCCTTGTGAAAAAAAATGTTGTTTTTGTCCCATGACAGCGGGAAAACGAAACGGCGCCTTCGAAGCATTCTACATACAAGCATCGGCCATGTCACAGATCTACGCGACGACCTGGATCTGTGAACAAGTCTGATGCATGCAACCGTCTTAACTGTCAACGGCGCACTAAACTGCATCATCAGAGTTTCCAGCCCCGCCCCAAAAAGTGCACTGTGCGCCTCGAACGGCGCATCGGGGGCACGAAGGCCGAATTATTTAGCAGAAGATTTAGCTCGAATTCTGCGCGCAACAAACCATGCACTGGCAAAGCAAACAAATTCTGGCTCAACACCGAAACCGATCTGAGCCGACAGCACCCGGCTGACCGGCACGCGCACAGCCAGAGGCACTATAGCTAAGCACTGCCGTGGCGAATCGTATCTGACGGGGCGAGGGTGGCCCCAATTGGAGCCGCAGGGCCGACCTGACGGGGCGGGGCGTGCTCCAGTTTGAGCTGCACAGAGCCGAGGGGGAGGAAGCGGCGGTGGACGAAAATGGGGAGCTCGGGGAGATCCAGGGATGGAGTCACTCGAAAGATGCCATCAGGTTTGCTTCCTCGCTGCGCAGCTGCGCGGAAGACCGGGCCCGGCGCGCTCGCGCCCACGCCGCCGCCGCCGCGGCCGCCAGCAGCAGCGCAGGCGCCGCGGCCCGCAGCGCCACGGCCAGCGGGGCCGCCCAACGCGCTGCGGGGCCTCCTTCGCCAGCCCGCTGCGCGGGCGCCTCGCGTAGAGAGCTCCTCTGCACGAGGCCGATCGTGCCAGAGCACAGGTAGGCGCCCGCGGGCGGCAGGCACTGGCTGTACGAGGGGCCCCCCTGCTCTGTGCAGGTGCAGCCGGCCTGGCAGCACGACGCGCCAGCCCAGCCGTCGCCCCCGCACTGCTGGAACACGTCCGCGCAGCCCGCGGCGGAGGCGCCCGCGCCCGCCGCCGACGCCGGCTGGGCGGCCTGCTGCTGCTGCTGCGGCAGCGACGGCTGCGGCTGCAGTGCCTGCTGCGGCTGCTGCAGTGCCTGCTGCTGCTGCGGCAGGGCCGCGGCGCCCCCGCTCACCGCGGTGACGCCCGCAGCCGCGGCCTTGAGGAACCCCGTCGCCACGGCCTGGTCCGGCTTTGCGCCCTCGCCGGCGGTGTACGTGGACCCGATCTCCCCGTACATGATGTTGGAGTAGGTCACCGACGCGTCTGGGTACTTGGCGCGCACGTCCGCTGGCACGCCCGTGGTCTTGTCGCACGGGCCGCGCGCGACGCCCGGCGTGGAGTGGCCGCCCTCGCCCGCGTCCGAGTCGAGCCAAAGCATCTGGCACTGGTAGTCGTCCCACAGGGAGAGGACGAGCGTCATCCCGCGGCGCAGCGCCTCCCCCGTCTGCTTCAGGGCGCCCTTCTTGCGGAAATCGTCGGGGTCGCCGAACTTATCCTTCTGTGCGGAGCAATACGCGTCGGTGATGGAGTCCCCGCCGTCAGAGCCGAGGATGCCGGCGTTCGAGTTCTTGATCACCTTGCCGCCCTGCACGTAGAGGCGCCTTATCTCCACGAGGTCGCCGTCGTCGGTGCCGTCGTCTGTAACGAACTGGGTCACCACGGTCATCGGCTGCGTGGTGTCCACCGTGAAATCGTCCCCCGGTCCGAAGAATTGCTGGTGGCCCATGCGGTACGAGTTGAAGTCGCAGCCATCCTTGTCGCAGACGCCATCGTAGCGCTCGTTCTTGGCGTTGTCGCCGCACTCCTTTCCCTCGCACAAATAGCTACCATCGATGGTGCACGGGTGCATCGTGAAGGCCGTGGCCATGGAGTTCGCCTCCCAGATGTCAACTTCCGCGCAGCACAGCCCGTACTTGCCGAGAGCTGCGCTCGTGTTCCATTCGAGGGTGTTGCTCTTGCCCTCCATGAACTTCACGTCATGGGGGCACTGGGCGTCGCAGTAGCCTGTCCCGTACTTGGCGCCAGCCTTGTTGCCCGCGTGTTTCATCCCCCCATCCTCGTCCATCTCGCTGAAATACAACGCGCCGTTCAGTCCGCAGGGAAGTGTGGACACATCCACGTCGAAGGTGAACTCCCTGTTCAGAAGCTTGAAAAGCTTGTACTTGTCTGGCTTCTCCAGAACGTACAGGCGGGACCCCACGTTCGGGCCGCGCACGAAGCCTAGCTCGACGCCTCCCGGGATCGCCGCGACACCGTAGGTGCTGTCGTAGTCGTCCAGCGTGACGCCCTCCAGCGCGCAGTTCTCGGCACAGGACTCTGGGTCGGGGCACATGGTGGAGTCCCACACGCCGTCGGTGAAGCAGTTGCCCGAGCTGTAGCACTGGGCGGCGGGGCCCGTGCCCTGGCAAGTCTGGCCGTGCACCCAGCGCCAGTTGGCGTCCAGGGTCAGGGCCCTCTGCTGCGCCTCGCAGCCCCCCTGCAGGGTGCACTCCGCGATCACAATGGGCGGCCCCTGCTCCTCCTTGGTCATGCCGGCCATCTGCGCCATGGCGACGGCCGGGAGGCACAGCACCGCCCGCACGAACTGCATGTTCTCTCTCCTTCGGGCGCCGATGCCGCTGCTGCGGAAGCGTCCGAGAGGGGGGGCGGGTACCGAAACGGCTACTTCGAAAGCCAAAAAAGCTTGAGCCAACAGGCTCAAGTGAAAAAAAAGGGTGCGAGCCCCAGGAGGCCACTTTAATTGAAAAGCACGAAGGGCACTGGGGGATCAATAATACATGTTATGACAATATGGGAGCGTTGTTGTGGTTGTCCGTGGGCCAACAAGCCAATATGAGGCACAAGAGTTTCCTTGCAATTGATCAGCTACAATTCAAAAAAAGACAACTATCACAAACACAACAACAACAACAACAACAACAACAACAACAACAACAACAACAACAACAACAACAACAACAACAACAACGACAACAACCACGACAACCACAACAACAACAACAACAACAGCCACAACAACACCAATATCAACACCAACACCAACACCCACACCAAGACCAACACCGACAACAGCACCGACCACGACAACGACAACGTGAACGAGAACTACACCGACAACGACAACGACAACAACAATCACAACAACAAACATAACAATTATGTTGAAACAGTGTGCTTATATCTGCTCGCATGCAATTCAACACGTATGTAAACCCTCGATCCCCGCCCTCTTCGTATTCGATCGTACCCCCTTGGGGTATAACTTCATTACCTGCCACATGTTCGGCAGTGGACAAACCTCCCTTTAGTGCACCACCCTTTAGTGAAAACGGCCTAAGACCGAAACCGACGGATCTGGACCTGCAAAAATAACGGTCGCGACGCACTCTCGCGAACCGAAAACGGCCAAGTCACTCATCGACGTGTCAGGGTAGAAGGTCTATCAAACTCCGACTTTTATTTAAGCGCAGCCACTGAAGCAGGGGAAAGGAGGACGGATGGAAGGGGGAGTGGGAAGGATGGAGCACGAGAGAGATTAGCAGGAGGGGGCAAAAAGCAGAAAACACGTGGCAAAACCAGACGGGCAGACCAGGCGGGTAGACCATAACGGGCGGGACGCGAAGGCAGGCCCAGGCGGCCAGGTCGAGCAGGCGGGCTGCTGAAGCGTGAGTCATGCATGAATCCAGAGGAAGTCTCGAGCGATAGTGCGACTCCAAAGTAAATCGTGAGAATGCCAAAGCCAGAGCGTGTTTCCTGAGTGTCCAACGCGCAGCGTCTGAAGAAGCTGCGAGGAAGCGGTTTATGCATAAATAACGAGGATGTCCCGCACGCGAGCGCAATTTCGAAATACATTGCGAGAATTCTTAGGCGTGAACCGTTGTTGTTTTTGTTGTTGTTGTTGTTGTTGTTGTTGTTGTAGTCCGGGGGCCAGGGGCCCAATCTGAGCCGCAAGACTTCCCTTGAAAAAAAACAGGGTGCGAGTCCCAGGCAGAGCAATTAGATTGAGAAACAAAGGGTGCAACGGGGGGGGGATCAACAATTAATACTCGTTAAAAGTGAGAACTCAACAGGCCAGGACACCATGAACCATATGCCTCACCCTCTGCATATGCATATGCATATGCATCACCAGCAACTGCATCATCATCATCATCATCATCATCATCATCATCATCATCATCATCATCATCATCATCATCATCATCATCATCATCATCATCATCATCATCATCCCCAGCTTCCGTGATCATCAACGTCTGTTTCCTCCCCTCCGTTCCTTCCTTTTCCATTCCCACCCACCCTTGCCATCTCCCTTGCAATCGTGGTGGCGTGCGCAGTCCATGGAACGGCAGAGCAGCTTGTCTGTTATCGGTCCCAGCCGCTCCGACGAGTGACAGAAAGAGGCCCCAGCAGCTGCAGTGATGAGAGGGCGAGGAAGCAGACGGAGAGAGAGGAGAAGGAAGAGGATGAGGAGCAGCAACAGCAGTAGCATGAGCGTGAGGAGGAGCAGCAACAGCAGCGAGAGGATCAATTGCAGAACAAGGCGCAGAGTGAAGAGCCAGGGGGGGAGCTGAAACAGAAGGACGACGAGGAAAAGGAAAAGATGAGCAACAGCAGCTGTTGCAGCGCTGAACAGGTTGGGGTTGACCCCATGGGCGCTCATCGGATCGAGGATATAACTTACGCGACCGTTTCACGCAACAGGATGCTGCAGAAACGGGCGCGATCCCCGCGAGGGGCGTGCCGAGACGGGCGTCGACATCCATGCACATAGACTCACTCGCACGCAGACTCATTCACAATCAGACTCACTCGCGCTCAAGCTCACCCGCTCTCAGTGTCTCGTACTCAGACCTATCGTCTTCGTTCCCCTCATCCTTCATCCCTCTTCACTCTTGACTCGCCTCCCACTCCTCTCGCGCTTCGCCGTCCTAGAAATGGCGAGCCTCGCCCCCGACGCTGCACGGCCCACGGCCTTGGACAGACGGCACGGCCAGTCCAACAAAGCCCGGCCCAAGGAGGCCGAAAAGAGGCCAAAGCCTCCAGGACCAGTTTCCCTCAGGTGAGGGGGAACGATACGCAGGAGGCCGGCTCGGGGGGGGGAAACATCGACCTCGAATCGGCGACAAATCGCCGATAGATCGGCGGTAGGCCCCCGACAGCGAATCCCCGCGTTCCCGGGTGGGGTGGGCTATGGAGCCCCTGTCGGCGATGAACGGGCGATCGGCAGTCGATGCGTCCACCCCTGAGCCTGTCCCTGCCCTGCGGCTGCCTCCTGGCTTTCGGGTCCTGGCCTGGCTCTCTGGGGACACACCCTGGGGGAATGGGTTGGGCATGCCACCAATCGTCATAACACCGAACACCATCTTGGCACCGGTTGTGGTCGATGCGGGCGTCCGGGACTCGACCACAACCACGACCCAAATGTTCATGTCGAGGTCGGTGTTTTCTCCCATGAGGGGAATTCCGGAAAAATCCCCAGAAGTGATTATCCGTTGTGATTCTCCGTTGTGCCCAGATGAGGGGCAACGATGGGGGGACTTTCATATGGGGGGGGACATCGACCTGGAATCGGCGACACATTGCCAGTAGATCGGCGATAGGCCCCCAATAGCAAATACGAACATTCCTGGGCGGAGTGGGGCTTTCAGACCGCTGTCGGCGATGAACGGGCGATCGGGGGTCGATGCATCCCCCCTGTGTGCCCGCCCACCCAGGAATTCCCTGGAAGACGAAAAAAACGGCAGAAACATGAACTTTCGACGGTCCGCGCGGATTTTTTGGATCCGCGCTGACCCCCCTCCCTGGCGCGCGGAGCGCGCCAGGGGCGGCGCCGAGGGCGCCGCCGGGGGGGCTCCGCGCGGATCCAACAAATCCGCGCGGAGCGCCAAAATGTTATGTTTATGGCGTCTTCTTCTTCGACTATCGCTGCCCCTGACCGGAGGAATGCCCACACGGCGACGGACGACAGCGGACGACGACGACGACCCCCGCTGCAGCTGCCAGCCGCGAGAGCGCCGCGCGGGCGCGCGCGGGCGCCTGGCGGTCCTGTCGCCAGCGCCCGCAGTCGGCAGCAGCGCCTGGGGGGGTGGGTGCGCGGCTCTCGGCGTGCGGGAAGGGACAGGAGGGAGGGAGGGAGAAGGAGGGAAGAGGACGAGGGAGGAGGACGAGGGAGGGAGGAGGAGGAGGGAAGAGGACGAGGGAGGAAGACGAGGGAGGGAGGAGAAGGAGGGAGGAGGACGGGGGGGGAGGACGAGGGAGGGAGGAGGAGGGGGAGAGGAGGAAGGGGAGGAGGAGGAGGAGGAGGCGGAGGAGGAGGAAGAGGAAGCCTCGGGCCCAGGAGTCCGTGGCAGTGCGCCAGCCCTGGCAGCCAAGATCGCAATTTACCCTCAAGATCCAGTACCTCTTACATCCTTTGTCATTTTCCCATTTACACACCATCTTTCACTCATTACATATTGGATCTGCTTTGTATCTCCTGCGTTACGTCACCACGATAGCACAGCAGGGTCACGTCTTCGACAACGGCGTCCTACGTGCACCGACCGACGACCACGAATCCAACTACATCTCCACATACAGAGGGCCCAACAAAAACAAGACCGAGCGCACAACCCGCACCACGACCAACCACCACAACCCAGCTTTGGTACCAATCCCGACCACGCAGCCTACGCCGACAGAGAGACGAAGACGCTCATAGACAGCATCCCTGAAGAATATCACGACGACGCCCAAGCAAAAGACAATCCAGGTGCTACGCCTTTGGAAGTGGGAGCATGGACTACATTTAAGACAGCAAACATCAGGAAGCTGGCTTTACAAACCCTGGCCGTCGAGAAAGCCGGACAAAAAGCCGACCACCCACGACGCGACTTAGCAGTCGTCAAAAGACAACTACTCGACCAAAAACCACGGCACGAACGGATATAATACATACGGCAGTTAAAAGAGGATTACACTTTTTGATCCGCGGATCGAGAGCGAGCCTCTTCCGGTCGAAGCTAAGCGGCTAAAAGGGGATTACACGGCTTGCACTAGAATATCCGAAGCCACACTAAAGCAAGCACAACAACGACACGACGACGACATCCGACTCACGAAGACCTACACCCACCTGGAAAAGGAGAAGGTCAACCACAGACAGCACACACCCAGCCCATAAACTGCACACACCAAATAACCCAGAGCACAAGACATCCAACTCAACAAACATCAAAATGACAAAATAATCGAGCCCCCGGAGACGATACCGACAAGCAACGACAAGCAAAAAGGCAAACGGGAACTCGAGACACTCTTTTTTCAGAAAAAAGGGGGGGATAGAGAGAGAGAGAAACAAAAAAAAAAAAAAAAAAAAAAAAAAAAAAAAAAAAATGACAACCTGCAAGCAAGCGACACGATCATCCAAGAACTACGAGAAGCCAACGAGCACCATCATCATCATCATCATCATCATCATCATCATCATCACCATCATCATCAGCATCATGTTCGACGTTGTCATCGTCGTCAACATCAGCGTCATCAGCATCAGAATCATCATCAGCATCAACAGCACCATTAACAGCATCATCATCAGTAGCATCATCATCAGCAGCAGCGGCATCTTCAGCATTGAGAACATCCGAATCCTCAACATCATCATCATCATAATCATCATCATCCCGTCGTCGTCACGACAGCATCAACATCAACATCAACAACGTCATC